AATGTTGGAACCAAATTTCAACTTGCAAAACTATGGAACAAAGGAACTGTCGTTCCCGACAGTTAAACGGTGGACAGGCTCATCTGTAGAGAATTACTAAGGCTAACTGTCGGGATCGACAGTTCATATGTCGGCGATTCCATCTGTCGAGAATTTCTGTTGCGAAATGTCGGGAACGACACTTCAGTAATAAATGATTTTAGAGGAAATGCATGTAGGAAGGTTAACACTTCATGTCAAAGGACGAGCATGAAGAGTGATAGTGGAAGAAGCTTGAAGGTGAATGCAAATATGAGAGGTTACAAAAAGGTTGAAACGATAAATGGGAAGAAAGTGAATGGGATTCATGTTGAGGGGAAGATATTTTTAGGCCAACTGAACACTGATATAATTAAAGAAAGCAGCATAAAAGAGCCAAATCATGAATACCTTCTTGGCTTTATCATACCGACATGGTTTAGTTTTTAGCAGATTTCCCAATATAAGATCTCCATTTCCTTCTAAAATAAACATGTTTTTTGTCTTCCAATAATTGTATCCAGTTTTCTTGATTGATGAATGCTTCGAAGAGTATCATCTCTCCCAGTTAATGTAATATTACTTCAGAAACCAAAAGTTACTAAAAATAAGTTGTTGCTAATTAATTTGCGCACAAACCTTTTTCATTTATGAAGTTACAAATTTTACATTAATGAACGTACAAGTCGGCCAATTCCAAAAACGATACTGCAAGAAAGAATAAAGTTTTAAAAAAACCAAAAATATTAAGAACGATAAACAAAAAATTCCCTTGTTTCTAGTGTCGATTCCATTCGACACAGAACCAATTTGCACTGAAACAAATTATCGCAATTAATTATGACCCTAAACCTAAATAGAAGCAGAACAAGCAAGTTTTCCAACAGATTAGTGAAAGAAGTCAGAATTACAAATACTAAAAATGAAGATGTAGATGAAGAAGTCTATTCCAATGCCGATAAATGCAGGTCATAAATCATATGAAATAGGATAAAACAAGTTCACAATGAAGAAAGCCAAAAACAAACAAAAAAATTCTTACCAAATCAAAAGAAAAGCAAAGACGGTAGGGCGTTGGGCGATTCCACCAGCACTTTCACTTTAGCCTCCTTCCTGTCGGTGGTCGCTTTTAGTGAGACAGAGGAGTGGGCTTCCACTTTAGCTTCCTTCCGGGCGGTGGTCGCTTTTAGTGAGAGAGAGGAGTGGGTGAGTTTAGGTATTTTGTGTGTCGTTTCTCTTCCTTCCTTCCGGTTTTCATTTCACAGCTTTTTTTTCCAGATTCAAATATTTAGTCAATTCATCTAACAGTTACACTGTTTTTCTACAATGACAAGTAAGGTATTAAAAAAATTCAGAGGGTCAAAAATTTCAATTTTTGATAGAATTGATAGAAAATTTAAGTGGTGATATTTTTGATATTGCATAGGCAAATTTTAACACCGAATGACATTTCCTCTTAAATATACATTGTACTATAGGAGAACTCGATTTATTTTACTTAAATGTCAAGTGGTTCATGTCATCACAAGGTTAATATTAGAGAACACTACCTAACTTTAATTACGTCCAACCTCTGATTCCATGACCGATATTTATTAAAAGAGTTCAAGTTATACCAGAAAAGTTGTATACAATACAGTTTAAATTAGTTATAAGAAAACAGAAAAATGAAAAAGAGGACAAAACACATGGATGATGTTATGATACTGCAAAAAGGACAAGCAAGCTACATTAAACTGATAACAAAAATCTGAAATACCCATCAAAAACTTGTTTCTAAATTTTGGAAAAGTATGTTATATAAACTTTCCTTAATTTCATCAGTAACTGAAACATTATATGAGATTTAAAATGGATGAATGAATAAAATATGCTAAAAATGTGTGCATTCAAATGATTAATAGAATCTTTCATTAATTTATATTGTAAACTACTTGTTGCAGTACATGGTTCTTGCTGTTGCAAATCCAAAGGAGCCAAAATCCAAGGAAAAACCACAAAAGTTTCTTAATGACAACAATAGGTATGTGGCTGCCGGAATACACAGAGGAAATCGTATCTATTATACACTCAATTTATATTCATTTTTTTCCAAAATTTCCATTCTTCATGTGTCTGCTTCTATATATAAACTTTAAATTCTCTGTCATGGTTTCTGCATTCTTTTGAAGTTGCCTTGACTATGCAATAGCTTTCGTAGTTTCTCTTTAATTTAGTTTAAACTCAGGTTCTCCAATCAGTGGTTCCAATCAAAGATGAAGAGGTGGTTCTTGGACAATATGAAGGTTATAGGGATGACCCGACAACTCAAACACCCCTACTTTTGCAACTATGGTTCTTAGAATACATAGTGAAAGATGGGAAGGTGAGATGGAATATCAACTCTTTTGGCATGTTTGGTCAGGGATTTGAATGCTACCAGACAACATGAACAAATAACATAAAGCTAAATTTTTTTTTTTTTTTTATATTTTCTTGTCAAGTATTGCGTACCATAGATATACTTTGGGCCTTAATATTTACTATAGTAGAGCAGAATAGGAGTATCCATGTAGTCAAGCAATAATGAGGCTTAGTTCTGTTCACTTGAAGAGCTGTAAACTATTTTCACATTGAGGGAGGCAAAAAAAAAATAACGAATACTTTTGTGTTGTCTAGTAAGAATTGCATGTGCGAACCTTGAATTAAGTTTGGTTTGACGTGAAATTGAAATTACTTGCTGTAGGTATACCTTTTATACTTAAGTTTATTCACAGTATATTGAAAGCAAGCTACATTAAACTCATTCCTAAAAGATGTGTACAGGGATAGCATTGTCTAATTCACCAACTTAAGTAGATGACTCACTGGGATTTGAATTCATATTTATTCTTACATTATCACAAACACCTAATATGCACATCTTTAATTTTCTAAAATTTGTAATTTTTCTACCTACTAACTCCATTCAATTAATCCAAATACTCATTTTTATGTATAATAACTCAAAATGGGTTTTTCACATATGAATTTTCATATCATACCTACAACATAAAAAAGCTTCAACATATCATCATCCCAAACTAGGTCCACGCAGTAAAAACATTTTCTCTTCTCCACAAAATTATAAAAACGGAATAAAACACCAACCTGAAGATACTAGGGACGGTCATCGTCGGCTGTGGGCTAATTCACGACGATCGTCGACGGTTGGGCGTTGGACGATTCGAATGACAGGGAGTCAATGATCGGCTTCAACTGATTCGAATGTTAGAGAGGAATGAGTTTGTATTTTGTTGTGGTCGTCTTCAACGATGAACGTCTTCACGGTGGTCGTCGACGAGTTGTAGGTGGGTGATTCCAGTGAGAGAGTGAAGTGGGTTTCAGACTTTCAGCCGGTTTCTTTTTTTCTTGTTTCACCTTCTTCTTTTTTTCCTTCTATTTCCAACGTTTTACCTTGACATTTCACAGGTTTTTGTACAATTTTTAATAGTCTAGTCATATTATATTTAATGAAGGACATATAAGGTATTGAAATTATTCAGAGGGGCAAAAAAATCCGAAAATGACATTTTTGATAGAACTTTAAAAAGATGACATTTTTGATAATGCAAAGTGAAATTTTGACTCTAATTGTAATTGCCTCTATCTTATATTTGCGAGATTTTAACAATTAATTACCACTTAGAATTAGTCATTTGCAAGGTCGAACTGAGAATTTCTTAGTCTAAAGTAAAATAGAGGATATCTTTAAAACTTGCATTAATTTATTATATGGATTAATGTACCGAAATTGTACCAATAATCCCCAACTTATTGCCCAAGTTGCAAGTTGGTCACCAATTTTTATTAAAAATGAATAAGTTGGTCTTCAACCTTTGATTGAAGGGTCAAACACTAAAAAGTCTACTAAAATAATGTGTACTTCAACATGGCTTATTTTATGAGAGCCATGCTACACGTACAAAAAACTTTCACAGAATTTGTTCATAGATGGACACATGACATAATTTCATCCATTTCAATGAAAACAAACAAAAAGAATGCACTATATGGGTACTAAGTATGTAAGGAATTGTTCATTTTATAAACACAAAAAGTGATATAATATTTTTATTGAATATGTACATGTTTAGCTCTAATTCTACTTCTTGATGCCTTGAATATCACTATTTTCACCCTCGAATGTTCTAGCCCGATAGAAATTAGGTGATCATTTTTCCACCAACTATTATTAAATAAGATGGTTGTCTAGATGCTACTTGCCCGTCAAGGATGTTTCTAGGATTACTTACCTTAGGATTTAGCTTATATCTCATCTTTCTCACCTCCTTGAGCGACAACATTGTAACATGTTCCCATCATTTTCACTTCTTCTTGCGAACCCATCTGTTTTATACTATGCTAACACCACTATTCCCATATGTGTTAACTATAACAATTGAAGCACTAGAAAAAGGTTAAGTACATGTATAGTTAACAACTCTTTTTCGGCCAGTCGTTTGACTTCTTGTACCCTTTTTAAATGACCATCTTAGTCATCATGGATCAACAAATCTCACACTTAAATTATATTTTATTTACATGTTTTACAGAACTTAAAATTTATTATTTACCTATTCATGCATTTACGTAGGACTCACATTTTGTAATAACTTAAAAGCAATAATATGTTTTGTAGTGCTTTTAAGATGTTATAAGTTGTTGATAGTGTGGAGATAATACATGGATAGTTAGTTGTGACATATAATTCCAACAAAATGTTAGATAATAAATATGTTTGGCCAACTTAGATTATAATTAAGCCTTTCCAAACATGCACTAAGGATCAATATACATAGCACTAAAATAGAGATTTTAAGGATCAACATGCTTCATTTCAAAGCTTGGGGGCGAATCAACTTACTTTGTTTTAAAGGAGGGGACGGATTGTGAAATTTTGGAATAGCAGGCTGCCGCAAGGGTAGGACCCACCCCATCTTTGGACATGTCGTCTGGTCACACAATTGCCGCTGATTCATACACGCTTGCACGCAAACCCGAACCCAAACCCTAATCCCCAATCGCTCTGTCCACAAACCCAAATTGGCATTTTAATTCCCTCTGTTTCAGAATAATTATATGCATTGGCAAGATATCATTTCGTAGATATAGGTGGAGCAGAAGCTTTTGTCCAGAGTTCAAAGACCTTTCTTTATCTTCTACAAGTGAATTTATACTTGAGATTAAATGGTCAGTTCTTTTTATGTTCTTCTTTGGCATTTTTGTGGTTAACTTCTCTGTACTGCAATTTATCTCTTATGAAGTGTATGAATTCGATGAAATTGACGTTATATGTGATTATTTAACAGGGCAACCAACAATACTTTGTTTTTTGTTTTTTAAGTTTTCTTTTTGTTGATTTTCTTTTGGGTACAGGTAAAGACTAGTCTTAGCTGTTTAATGTTAGTTTCATTATTATCGAGGTCTGAAAATCATGAAATTGTTTTGTACTTTTATTATAATTCTCCAATTCACGAAAATGTATTTCTTCAAATTCCTTATGCCTTTTTCTTTTTAATTTTATGTTTACTGAAGTAAAGTGTTACTGCCATTCTGGTATCTTTATCTTTTGTGCTATGTAGCTAACAGGACAATCTACAGAGGTTGTTTATGTAAGATTGCTAATATGTTCATTTAATGTTCATGATTTTGTGTGTTCCTTTTACAGAGTGGTAGAGAAGCAAGAGGCAGGTCTCGTAGGGATTATCCTGCGAAATCTGAAGAGAAATCCCAGCATGGTCGGGGAAACAATCCCCCATCGAGACACCTTTGGGTTGGAAATCTTTCGCACAACTTAACAGAGAATGATTTGGCCCATCAATTTCTCAAGTTTGGGGATCTTGAGAGTCTTGCATTTCAACTGGGTCGCAGTTATGCTTTCATTAACTATAGAAATGATAAAGATGCTTTTCTTGCAGTAAGAGAGCTCCAAGGTTTTGTTCTTGCAGGCAATCCACTTAAGATTGAGTTTGCGAAGGCGGTTAGTTTTGTTGATCTTTGTCTACTTGCCTTTTGGTACCATTTTGATGCCACTTCCTACATATGTACATTTTTTATCGGTTCTATGGAATCTATGGCAATTCAAGACAGCTTGGTGATACAGAATATTAGAAGCATACACAAAGAAGCAACATCATGCCTTGTTCAGTCTAACTCATCCATCACTTATTTAAGAAAATATGAAAAATCAGTCAAATTCATCAGTCTTCCACTCCAAAGCAAAAAACAAAAAAGACAAAGCAAGATGCTATGTAATATTTAACTCTTCATCCAATGAACATAAGCCCTGAAAGGGATGTGAAGCCATTCTCAATGTCTTCCACTGACCCATTGAATCCAGGCGACGAGGGGAATTCATTGATTGAATCCATTTTTGATGATGTGCCGCTAACAAGGCCGACCTATTCTCCCAATGCAATCTGGTTTTGTATGGGCATGGAATTCGATCCTATCTCAATAATCCAATTTTTCGACTGCATAATATACTCTCCACTCAATAAGCATTAGCATTAGCATTAGGCCTCACTTCTGTTTTGAACGAAATGATTAGATCTGCAAAGATTTCTTAATGCTATACCACTGAATTGTATGGAAGGTCCTAAAAGGCACACATTGATTTTACATTTATGGTACTCTGTTACTTCTCCACTGTGGGAAACTAAAAGCTTGGTGTCATATGAATAATTTTGAAAGGTTGCAAAAGTCACGTCTCATTTTTACCATCTATGAATCAGGCTCTGATATGGCTGCAATCTTGACAAATGAGAGCTCGATACCTGTAAAAATTAAACACTTCCTGAAAGTCACACCTTGGTTCTACCAGTATGAAACAAGCTTTTTATTTCCATCGAAATTTCGATGAATGAAATGCAAATGAATTGAACACAATGAATAGTGTCTTCAGCAGCACTATTGCTGAAAGAGGATTGATATGTTTGTCACTAATAAAGGTGGACCACTCATTTAACAGAAAATGTCATTTCACCAGTCATACACAATTTTGAACTTGTATAGAAAAATTCTCATATCTACATGGATGTAGATATACATTCATGATGGTAGTAAGCATGAGTTTTGCAAGATTGTTGCTAAAGATTCTGTTACAAGGTAGTTAGAATGGGTTAGAAAAAATCTGAAGTTTCAGCCACTGTAGGAAAGCTTTAAGGAAAGCTAGAATGAGTACCGTAATATACATTTTTATCCACACAATTTTGAACTTGTATAGAAAAATTCTCATATCTACATGGATGTAGATATACATTCATGATGGTAGTAAGCATGAGTTTTGCAAGATTGTTGCTAAAGATTCTGTTACAAGGTAGTTAGAATGGGTTAGAAAAAATCTGAAGTTTCAGCCACTGTAGGAAAGCTTTAAGGAAAGCTAGAATGAGTACCGTAATATACATTTTTATCCAAGTATTCCTTTATTCAGTAACGTCTATTGCTACTGCGAAATGGATAAGGGCATTAGACTACACGTGGGTGTTTGTTTAAATTCTTTGAAGCATTGCTTGGCAGTTATGGTTACAAATGTCATCTTGATCTTCATATGCTCTAACTGCATGATGACCTTAATGTTTATGATCACGTGCTAGGGAGATAATATATTAAATTGAAGTTGTTGAGGCATGCAAGTTTGATTGCTATATAATGAAAGCATTTTAGCTGTGCTCCCGTTCTTTCCTCCATTCATGATCTTTCCTCTGTTCTCATCTTCCTTTTTGGTAGTATGCTCAATAATGTTGATCGTAGTTAGCCTAGACCTGAACTTTGTTGAGAGGATGTTGCTTGTTTGTAAGATTGGTTAGAATTCTTACGATAAAGTAAACCCCACAGATGAAGTAAATTACTTTAGAAACTATGCAGTGGCTTTTGCTTCACTTAGGAGAAGAGGGTTAATATTTCGAAAGAAACAACTGGCTTCAATAAAACTGACTTGACATGGAATTTTGATTCTTAATGCATTGTCATGTAGGTGTACTTTCCATAATTCTTGGGGACTTTTAAGAAGCTCCTACAAATTTGGGCTACGCAAACAGTAGTATGTCACAAAAAGTACTCCTATAGGTTATATTGCAAGACGGCCTCCATCAGGATTTCCAAATCATTTATAAGGTGGTTGAAGCATAATCTTTTTTGATAGGCATTGAAGCATAATACTTGAACAAACACCTTCATCAATCACTAGTCACAATGTTTTCTTTCATCTGAACTTGAGAAATGTGGCTGATGGTCTTAAGGAGGTAACAAAAAAATGACCATCTGCTTTTTTACCACTTCCATCAGGGTAATTATGACTATCCTTTTGCATCTTAATGGGAGTGCTAATTTTGCAATCAGCAATTCAATTGCTAAAGCCTATTCAAATTCCTACATTGGGTGATGTTTATTCTCTTATATCAAGTATAAGACATGTTTCAAATTCAAGAGAATGTCAATATATGACTGTCAACTTCAACTGCATTGCTAATATATCCATTCAATCCTTTATATTGCTCCTTTGATAAATAATCCAAGCTCTTCAAGCCATATCCAGATCCATGCATAGCAACTTTGTCACTATCAATTGCCAAGCATAATATCCAGTTTTCAACCTCAATAACTAGAAAAGTGGGGACTGTATCTGTGACTAAAATACTTGTGCATGTATCCAATTTGCAATACTTTATACGTAATTATTGATGCACTCAAGCAATTCCAATGTACAATCATACACTTTGCAAGGAATACCAGGCAAGAAGGTGTTGACAATATTTTATCATCTTATCTTTCATTTGAGGATAGTCCAGTTCAAGGGGACAATGGCTTTGATACTTGATGCTGTTAAACATTCAAATATCAAGATAAAATATAGTTAAGACTTGCTCTAAACTGAAGCTTTGGATGTTGCTAACATCAAATGGAACAACAACACTTTGTCCCCACATGAATGGTCCTAATATGTTTTCCATGACTAGTACTCCAGATTGTCTTAGCTGGAGCCAAAGCACTGTTTGTCAGTGAGTTAACTTGAAGGGGAACTATCTGATACAACATCTCCAAATTCATTTACTATGACACTGAAAACAATTGAAACCGCAAAACACATTCTTGTTTTAAATTTCAACAAGACTACATTTCTATCAGCTCATTTGGTTGATTCTTGGTTCAGGCACAAATATTCTAGGAATGCAAAACCTTTTTACAGGCACTAGAGGGCTGAATAGCATTACCCATTTAGATGTACAATCATTTAAGGACACTTAGTAGACAATTAGGTTGGTGCTTAGCATTAGTGGGTCTGAATAACGTTACTCATTTCTCCTAGACAGACAATATGAGGGTCAAAGTGATTTTATGACTAGAATTTTGGAATGTGATATGAAATTTTTTAGTTGCTATGTGGAAATGTATTATTTCCATAAGCACCAGCACTTTAATAATGGATGTAACCATGTAGTTGCGTTGATGTATTGTTTTTCCTTTTCTTTTTCTCTGCAACTTCTTCTTGCACTCCTTTTGACCTGGAGATGTTAATCTCGTGGACAATGAATCTTACATGCAATTTCCAACTAAGCAGGGCATCATAACATGTTTAGTTTTAGATATGAAGCTATTTAATATGTCATGTAAAGTTGCTGATGTGATTTCATTTGAGTGATTGGTTAAACTGAACCGCTAGTGCAAATGCATAATTATATAATTCGGAGTTGTCTCTATTGCTAGGAGATAAAATTCTGCAATTTCATGAACAGAATATGTGTCACAATGGAAAAATATCACATTGTACTAATCTCTGGATGGTATTAAGGTATGGAGAGATTGGGCATCAGATCTACATCCATCACAGAATAAAGCTCAAACTAATAGTCCCCAAGTCTTGTTCTTTCCGTTCCTATAATCGTACATATATGGCCATTGCAGCCAATTCACTCACAAAACCTTGGCGGCGTGCAGACATGAAATTTGACATTATAAACTAGCAGGTGAGAATTCAAAGATCTCTACATTAATGACACCACATCAACAAAACAAATCTAGCAGGGTAACCAAAAGAGAAAAAAAAATGATGAGTAAGATTCTCTCTGTCCCTATAATTGTTCATATAATAGCTATTGCTGTCATTCACTCACAAAACCTTGGCAGCATGTAGACATGAAATCTGGCATTGTAAGGGTGAGAATTCAAGAATCTCTACATTTTAGACACCACATCAGCACAACAAATCTGGCAGTGTACAAAAAATATGTGTATTATATTCTAGAGAGACATCAAATTCAAGTGGAAATGTTACGAAATTTGTTGGATTTGTTAATCAACTTAATTCTATTTATGGTGATCCATCAAGATCAACTCAACTCAGCAAGATCTTACACCTGTGATCATTAAACAATCTGCATTAATTTCTTGCTCAGTTAAGCTGTCTTAATGCTTAACTGTGTTGTTTAAGCTACCTAGTTGATTTTAGATAATTTAGGAGACTGACAATTCTCTTTATGTATAACTTCTAAACAAGCCTGCCACTTGGCAAAGTGTAGTAGCTATCTCTTTGATGAGGTCTTCATTGTTTAATTTTTTTGGCGCCAGTCACCTTCAAAATGCCTGCAATTCTTCCACATCTAGTTAGCGTTTCTTCCACATCTAGTTAGCGTTCTCATTCACAATTTTGCTTCTCAATATGCCAGTTCAGTATTGTGATAAAATGAAGTTGGTGTGGTAGATATTGCTTATTCTCCTTGTTAGACATGGAGACTGCAAGTATTGGCAAAAACTGCAGGTTCTATATGTTCGAGAGGCTTTTGCCTACACATTTTGATGGAAGATCATAAGGCTCTATCCTTTCAATGTTTGAAAAGGCTCAACCAATCAGGTACTGAGGCATTTTACTTGTGAGGAGAGATGTATGTCTCGAGGCGTTTTGAGGTTCACCATGAGGGGTATGGCACAAGAATCTAGAAAAATCAATAAAATAATCCACAAGAATATAGAAGTATAAAGTTATGATTATAATAAACTATAAACCATCTTAGGAATCCTTATTAATAAAAATTAACAATATTAAGTTTTACTTATACACATAAAAATGAAAAATAAATTAGTGAATAATAATTTCTCAAGATACTAATCAAAGTTGTAATGTACTGCTAAAAGGAAAAGCGACTTAGAATTCTCCATAGTGTAATGAACAAAATCTCTGAAATATTTAGTTCTCTTATTGTTCTCGTCAACATTATCGATTTTTTTGACCCTTTGTCATCATACTACCCTTGCATGGTGCCTTTTTCTATGAAAAATGAAAATACAACAACCTGTAAAACACTTAGGATTTAGCTTATATCTCATCTTTCTCACCTCCTTGAGCGACAACATTGTAACATGTTCCCATCATTTTCACTTCTTCTTGCGAACCCATCTGTTTTATACTATGCTAACACCACTATTCCCATATGTGTTAACTATAACAATTGAAGCACTAGAAAAAGGTTAAGTACATGTATAGTTAACAACTCTTTTTCGGCCAGTCGTTTGACTTCTTGTACCCTTTTTAAATGACCATCTTAGTCATCATGGATCAACAAATCTCACACTTAAATTATATTTTATTTACATGTTTTACAGAACTTAAAATTTATTATTTACCTATTCATGCATTTACGTAGGACTCACATTTTGTAATAACTTAAAAGCAATAATATGTTTTGTAGTGCTTTTAAGATGTTATAAGTTGTTGATAGTGTGGAGATAATACATGGATAGTTAGTTGTGACATATAATTCCAACAAAATGTTAGATAATAAATATGTTTGGCCAACTTAGATTATAATTAAGCCTTTCCAAACATGCACTAAGGATCAATATACATAGCACTAAAATAGAGATTTTAAGGATCAACATGCTTCATTTCAAAGCTTGGGGGCGAATCAACTTACTTTGTTTTAAAGGAGGGGACGGATTGTGAAATTTTGGAATAGCAGGCTGCCGCAAGGGTAGGACCCACCCCATCTTTGGACATGTCGTCTGGTCACACAATTGCCGCTGATTCATACACGCTTGCACCCAAACCCGAACCCGAACCCAAACCCTAATCCCCAATCGCTCTGTCCACAAACCCAAATTGGCATTTTAATTCCCTCTGTTTCAGAATAATTATATGCATTGGCAAGATATCATTTCGTAGATATAGGTGGAGCAGAAGCTTTTGTCCAGAGTTCAAAGACCTTTCTTTATCTTCTACAAGTGAATTTATACTTGAGATTAAATGGTCAGTTCTTTTTATGTTCTTCTTTGGCATTTTTGTGGTTAACTTCTCTGTACTGCAATTTATCTCTTATGAAGTGTATGAATTCGATGAAATTGACGTTATATGTGATTATTTAACAGGGCAACCAACAATACTTTGTTTTTTGTTTTTTAAGTTTTCTGTTTGTTGATTTTCTTTTGGGTACAGGTAAAGACTAGTCTTAGCTGTTTAATGTTAGTTTCATTATTATCGAGGTCTGAAAATCATGAAATTGTTTTGTACTTTTATTATAATTCTCCAATTCACGAAAATGTATTTCTTCAAATTCCTTATGCCTTTTTCTTTTTAATTTTATGTTTACTGAAGTAAAGTGTTACTTCCATTCTGGTATCTTTACCTTTTGTGCTATGTAGCTAACAGGACAATCTACAGAGGTTGTTTATGTAAGATTGCTAATATGTTCATTTAATGTTCATGATTTTGTGTGTTCCTTTTACAGAGTGGTAGAGAAGCAAGAGGCAGGTCTCGTAGGGATTATCCTGCGAAATCTGAAGAGAAATCCCAGCATGGTCGGGGAAACAATCCCCCATCGAGACACCTTTGGGTTGGAAATCTTTCGCACAACTTAACAGAGAATGATTTGGCCCATCAATTTCTCAAGTTTGGGGATCTTGAGAGTCTTGCATTTCAACTGGGTCGCAGTTATGCTTTCATTAACTATAGAAATGATAAAGATGCTTTTCTTGCAGTAAGAGAGCTCCAAGGTTTTGTTCTTGCAGGCAATCCACTTAAGATTGAGTTTGCGAAGGCGGTTAGTTTTGTTGATCTTTGTCTACTTGCCTTTTGGTACCATTTTGATGCCACTTCCTACATATGTACATTTTTTATCGGTTCTATGGAATCTATGGCAATTCAAGACAGCTTGGTGATACAGAATATTAGAAGCATACACAAAGAAGCAACATCATGCCTTGTTCAGTCTAACTCATCCATCACTTATTTAAGAAAATATGAAAAATCAGTCAAATTCATCAGTCTTCCACTCCAAAGCAAAAAACAAAAAAGACAAAGCAAGATGCTATGTAATATTTAACTCTTCATCCAATGAACATAAGCCCTGAAAGGGATGTGAAGCCATTCTCAATGTCTTCCACTGACCCATTGAATCCAGGCGACGAGGGGAATTCATTGATTGAATCCATTTTTGATGATGTGCCGCTAACAAGGCCGACCTATTCTCCCAATGCAATCTGGTTTTGTATGGGCATGGAATTCGATCCTATCTCAATAATCCAATTTTTCGACTGCATAATATACTCTCCACTCAATAAGCATTAGCATTAGCATTAGGCCTCACTTCTGTTTTGAATGAAATGATTAGATCTGCAAAGATTTCTTAATGCTATACCACTGAATTGTATGGAAGGTCCTAAAAGGCACACATTGATTTTACATTTATGGTACTCTGTTACTTCTCCACTGTGGGAAACTAAAAGCTTGGTGTCATATGAATAATTTTGAAAGGTTGCAAAAGTCACGTCTCATTTTTACCATCTATGAATCAGGCTCTGATATGGCTGCAATCTTGACAAATGAGAGCTCGATACCTGTAAAAATTAAACACTTCCTGAAAGTCACACCTTGGTTCTACCAGTATGAAACAAGCTTTTTATTTCCATCGAAATTTCGATGAATGAAATGCAAATGAATTGAACACAATGAATAGTGTCTTCAGCAGCACTATTGCTGAAAGAGGATTGATATGTTTGTCACTAATAAAGGTGGACCACTCATTTAACAGAAAATGTCATTTCACCAGTCATACACAATTTTGAACTTGTATAGAAAAATTCTCATATCTACATGGATGTAGATATACATTCATGATGGTAGTAAGCATGAGTTTTGCAAGATTGTTGCTAAAGATTCTGTTACAAGGTAGTTAGAATGGGTTAGAAAAAATCTGAAGTTTCAGCCACTGTAGGAAAGCTTTAAGGAAAGCTAGAATGAGTACCGTAATATACATTTTTATCCCAGTATTCCTTTATTCAGTAACGTCTATTGCTACTGCGAAATGGATAAGGGCATTAGACTACACGTGGGTGTTTATTTAAATTCTTTGAAACATTGCTTGGCAGTTATGGTTACAAATGTCATCTTGATCTTCATATGCTCTAACTGCATGATGACCTTAATGTTTATGATCACGTGCTAGGGAGATAATATATTAAATTGAAGTTGTTGAGGCATGCAAGTTTGATTGCTATATAATGAAAGCATTTTAGCTGTGCTCCCGTTCTTTCCTCCATTCATGATCTTTCCTCTGTTCTCATCTTCCTTTTTGGTAGTATGCTCAATAATGTTGATCGTAGTTAGCCTAGACCTGAACTTTGTTGAGAGGATGTTGCTTGTTTGTAAGATTGGTTAGAATTCTTACGATAAAGTAAACCCCACAGATGAAGTAAATTACTTTAGAAACTATGCAGTGGCTTTTGCTTCACTTAGGAGAAGAGGGTTAATATTTCGAAAGAAACAACTGGCTTCAATAAAACTGACTTGACATGGAATTTTGATTCTTAATGCATTGTCATGTAGGTGTACTTTCCATAATTCTTGGGGACTTTTAAGGAGCTCCTACAAATTTGGGCTACGCAAACAGTAGTATGTCACAAAAAGTACTCCTATAGGTTATATTGCAAGACGGCCTCCATCAGGATTTCCAAATCATTTATAAGGTGGTTGAAGCATAATCTTTTTTGATAGGCATTGAAGCATAATACTTGAACAAACACCTTCATCAATCACTAGTCACAATGTTTTCTTTCATCTGAACTTGAGAAATGTGGCTGATGGTCTTAAGGAGGTAACAAAAAAATGACCATCTGCTTTTTTACCACTTCCATCAGGGTAATTATGACTATCCTTTTGCATCTTAATGGGAGTGCTAATTTTGCAATCAGCAATTCAATTGCTAAAGCCTATTCAAATTCCTACATTGGGTGATGTTTATTCTCTTATATCAAGTATAAGACATGTTTCAAATTCAAGAGAATGTCAATATATGACTGTCAACTTCAACTGCATTGCTAATATATCCATTCAATCCTTTATATTGCTCCTTTGATAAATAATCCAAGCTCTTCAAGCCATATCCAGATCCATGCATAGCAACTTTGTCACTATCAATTGCCAAGCATAATATCCAGTTTTCAACCTCAATAACTAGAAAAGTGGGGACTGTATCTGTGACTAAAATACTTGTGCATGTATCCAATTTGCAATACTTTATACGTAATTATTGATGCACTCAAGCAATTCCAATGTACAATCATACACTTTGCAAGGAATACCAGGCAAGAAGGTGTTGACAATATTTTATCATCTTATCTTTCATTTGAGGATAGTCCAGTTCAAGGGGACAATGGCTTTGATACTTGATGCTGTTAAACATTCAAATATCAAGATAAAATATAGTTAAGACTTGCTCTAAACTGAAGCTTTGGATGTTGCTAACATCAAATGGAACAACAACACTTTGTCCCCACATGAATGGTCCTAATATGTTTTCCATGACTAGTACTCCAGATTGTCTTAGCTTGAGCCAAAGCACTGTTTGTCAGTGAGTTAACTTGAAGGGGAACTATCTGATACAACATCTCCAAATTCATTTACTATGACACTGAAAACAATTGAAACCGCAAAACACATTCTTGTTTTAAATTTCAACAAGACTACATTTCTATCAGCTCATTTGGTTGATTCTTGGTTCAGGCACAAATATTCTAGGAATGCAAAACCTTTTTACAGGCACTAGAGGGCTGAATAGCATTACCCATTTAGATGTACAATCATTTAAGGACACTTAGTAGACAATTAGGTTGGTGCTTAGCATTAGTGGGTCTGAATAACGTTACTCATTTCTCCTAGACAGACAATATGAGGGTCAAAGTGATTTTATGACTAGAATTTTGGAATGTGATATGAAATTTTTTAGTTGCTATGTGGAAATGTATTATTTCCATAAGCACCAGCACTTTAATAATGGATGTAACCATGTAGTTGCGTTGATGTATTGTTTTTCCTTTTCTTTTTCTCTGCAACTTCTTCTTGCACTCCTTTTGACCTGGAGATGTTAATCTCGTGGACAATGAATCTTACATGCAATTTCCAACTAAGCAGGGCATCATAACATGTTTAGTTTTAGATATGAAGCTATTTAATATGTCATGTAAAGTTGCTGATGTGATTTCATTTGAGTGATTGGTTAAACTGAACCGCTAGTGCAAATGCATAATTATATAATTCGGAGTTGTCTCTATTGCTAGGAGATAAAATTCTGCAATTTCATGAACAGAATATGTGTCACAATGGAAAAATATCACATTGTACTAATCTCTGGATGGTATTAAGGTATGGAGAGATTGGGCATCAGATCTACATCCATCACAGAATAAAGCTCAAACTAATAGTCCCCAAGTCTTGTTCTTTCCGTTCCTATAATCGTACATATATGGCCATTGCAGCCAATTCACTCACAAAACCTTGGCGGCGTGCAGACATGAAATTTGACATTATAAACTAGCAGGTGAGAATTCAAAGATCTCTACATTAATGACACCACATCAACAAAACAAATCTAGCAGGGTAACCAAAAGAGAAAAAAAAATGATGAGTAAGATTCTCTCTGTCCCTATAATTGTTCATATAATAGCTATTGCTGTCATTCACTCACAAAACCTTGGCAGCATGTAGACATGAAATCTGGCATTGTAAGGGTGAGAATTCAAGAATCTCTACATTTTAGACACCACATCAGCACAACAAATCTGGCAGTGTACAAAAAATATGTGTATTATATTCTAGAGAGACATCAAATTCAAGTGGAAATGTTACGAAATTTGTTGGATTTGTTAATCAACTTAATTCTATTTATGGTGATCCATCAAGATCAACTCAACTCAGCAAGATCTTACACCTGTGATCATTAAACAATCTGCATTAATTTCTTGCTCAGTTAAGCTGTCTTAATGCTTAACTGTGTTGTTTAAGCTACCTAGTTGATTTTAGATAATTTAGGAGACTGACAATTCTCTTTATGTATAACTTCTAAACAAGCCTGCCACTTGGCAAAGTGTAGTAGCTATCTCTTTGATGAGGTCTTCATTGTTTAATTTTTTTGGCGCCAGTCACCTTCAAAATGCCTGCAATTCTTCCACATCTAGTTAGCGTTTCTTCCACATCTAGTTAGCGTTCTCATTCACAATTTTGCTTCTCAATATGCCAGTTCAGTATTGTGATAAAATGAAGTTGGTGTGGTAGATATTGCTTATTCTCCTTGTTAGACATGGAGACTGCAAGTATTGGCAAAAACTGCAGCTTCTATATGTTCGAGAGGCTTTTGCCTACACATTTTGATGGAAGATCATAAGGCTCTATCCTTTCAATGTTTGAAAAGGCTCAACCAATCAGGTACTGAGGCATTTTACTTGTGAGGAGAGATGTATGTCTCGAGGCGTTTTGAGGTTCACCATGAGGGGTATGGCACAAGAATCTAGAAAAATCAATAAAATAATCCACAAGAATATAGAAGTATAAAGTTATGATTATAATAAACTATAAACCATCTTAGGAATCCTTATTAATAAAAATTAACAATATTAAGTTTTACTTATACACATAAAAATGAAAAATAAATTAGTGAATAATAATTTCTCAAGATACTAATCAAAGTTGTAATGTACTGCTAAAAGGAAAAGCGACTTAGAATTCTCCATAGTGTAATGAACAAAATCTCTGAAATATTTAGTTCTC